AGCCTGTGCGGCCTCACCAGTGCCAAGTACAGGGGCACGATCACTTCCCTACTCCTGCTGGCCACACTATTTCTGATACAGGCCAGGATGCCATTGGCCTTCTTGGCCGCCTGGGCACACTGCCGGCTCATGTTCAGCCGGCTGTCAACCAGCACCCCCAGGTCCTTTTCCAACAGGCAAATGTCCAAATGTCTCTTTCTTTTCCAAAACACCTCCTCCGATCATGAAGCAGTGTGGTTGCTTATACTCCTTGTTGATTTTAGAGGAGACTACCTGCATTTTTTAATTTTGTGAGGCTTTAATAATGCTGTGCTTCAGTCTTTGCAGAGGAGATGGATATGGTGACTAGCCCTACACACAACTGTGATAAACTTTGTGGGCTTTATCACTTTTCTTTGTAATCCTTACACCTGAAGTGTCCAACCTTTATGGTCATGTGGATCACCTATTTTCATCTTGTGGCAGGAGAGGTCTGAATATTGCAGCTCTCTCTGTGCCATATGACTACACCTGCATCCCTCGTGTTGTGGAGGGGAAGGAGTAGAGGTAGGGCAGTGCTCAGCAGTGACTTGCTGCCACCACCAAAATAATTTTGCAGCCTGAATCTTGTCCTGTGGCAACCAAACAGCAAATATTAATTCCAAGCTATAAACTCAGGTTGGGAAGAGTGAAGTTCTCACTGTTTGGCAGAGGTTATGGTCTGGGTGAGGTGTCCTAACGAGTTACTCACAGCTTGAAAGCCATAGGTCAGGCATCCTCAGTTAGAGTGAGAATTAGAATTAGAATGCAATGCTAATAACAAGCTGCAAACAGAGATTTACACTGCCCCTGTCTAAAACAAGAAATAAAAGTTTATCACTACATTTATTTGGAAGCAGAGCAGATGCAGTTTCTCTTCAGGTTTTCCAAAATCTGCCATGATGCTACTGGGCTTTCTGTTGTCTCTGTAATTGGGGTTGCATCTGCTTGGGTAATCTTCCATATTTACTCTGAAAGGGAGCATTCAAAAAAGTTCAAAGGTAATGGCTACCTGAAGTTTAAATTCTGGCCCATATAACATTTTTATGTAGCTCTAGTTCATAAATTGCTGCTGCTGAGCTTTTGAGCAATCTACTTTTTAAGTCTTGGATGTTCTTGCTGCGGTAATCTTTGAGTCAAGGATGCTGTAGTTAAACAAAACTATTAGCTATTGCCAGGACTTTGGCACAAAAGTAAGCTTTTGTTAGCTATTTGCACCTGAGAGACATAAAATGTTTTTCTCTCATCTCTTAACTGGATGAAGTTTCTTAACTCAAGCCATAGAGGCCTGTGGTCTTGAGGAATGAAGGAACATATTGCTCATTCGAATTCCATATGTTTCTCTGGCTTCTTTAACAATTCTGGCACTTATTTGAGCCAGAATAGATTTGCTGGAATGTGGCACCCTGTAATTGTTCTCTGCAAAGCAGAGATGGTCAGCTT